TTTCTGGTCAAGGCACTGGGGAATGCTTTTCTGAAACTAACAACAAAGGAAAGAGTTGCTGCCTTCAAGCAAGGAAGAAAAAGAAAAAACAGTTGCAATCGTGCTGCTTGGCCTGCTGTGTTCATCCAGCTCTACACCTTGTTATCTCTGTATCTACAACATCCTCTGGCAGTTCATTCCACACACGAACCACTCCGTGTGAAAAAGTTACCCCTCAGGTCCCTTTTAAATCTTCGCCTCTCACTTTAAACCTATGCCCTCGAGTTTTGAACTCCCCTACCCTATGGTAAAGGCCTTGGCTATTCACCCTATGTATGCCCCTCATGGTCTTATAAAGGTCAGCCCTCAACCTCTTATACTCCAGGGAAAAAATGTCCCAGCCTATCCAGCCTCTCCTTGTAACTTAAACCCTCCAGTCCTGGTAACATCCTTGTTAATCTTTTATGCATCCTTTCCAGATTAATAATATCCTTCCTATAGCAGGACAAGCCCAGTTATCAGGAACACCATTGCTGCTGAGGCTGAGATATGAACTCCTGCCCTTCTCAGCCACAAGGCTGAGATTTAAGTTGAGATTCAAGTCCCACTCAAGGACATGAACACAACAAGATCTGCATTGATACAGCACTTTTCATGGCCACTGCACATTGTAAAGCACTTTAACGTGTAAATTTGGCAGCCAGGATTGCATTCAGCAAACTTCCACAGACAGCCACGTGATAATAGCCAATATGCTTTTTGTGAAGTCGACTGAGAGACAGATAACGGCCAGGACTCTGGAAAGAAATCTCCTGCTCTTCTTCGAAACAGAATCCATGAGATCTCTTAGATCTACCCGAACAGGCAGACTGGGCAAAGGTTTGATGTCTTATTCAGTACACAGCTGCTCCCAGTGTTCCTCTGGAGTGTCAACGCGGGTTTCTGAGCTTAAGCCCTGGATTGCGGCTTGAGCCCAGAGCCATATGATCCAGGGACAACAGGGTATTCAAGGCTGGTGCTCAGTGCAGCACTGAGGGAGTGCTGCAATGCCCAGGGTGCTGTCTTTTTGAATACAATATTAATTTGAGGTTCCATCCGTCTTCTCAGGTGGACACAAAAGATTTCACGGCACTATTCGGAAGAGCCTGCAGCAGAAGAGTTCTTTTGATTTGATTTGATTTATTATTGTCAACGTGTTACCTAGGTACAGTGTAAAGTTTAGTTTTGCGTGCAGTACAGGCAGATCATACCATACAAAGTGCATTAGGGGAATAGAACACAGTGAGGAATACAATGTCACAGCTGCAGAGAAGTTACATAAAGAACGAGATCAACATTAAAATTTAACATTTGACAGGTCTGTTCAGACGTCTAATAACAGCAGGGAAGAAGCTGTTCTTGAATATGTTGGTATGTGTATTTAAGCTTTTGTATCTTCTGCCCGATGGAAGAAGGGGTGAAGAGATTATAACCAAAGGTGGGGGAAGGGGTCTTTGATGATGTTGGCTGCCTTCCCGAGGCAGAGAGAATTGTAGATGGAGTCAATGGATGGGAAGTTGGTTTGTGTGACGGACTGGGCTGTGTTCACAACTCTCTGTAGTTTCTTATGGTCCTGCACAGAGCAGTTGCCATATCGTTCTCCCTAGTTATTTTGGCCAATATTTATCTCAGATTCAGAATCACACTCAACAAGCTATCTGGTCAGTAGCACACTGATACTTCTGGGAGCTTGTTGTGTGTAAATTGGCTGCTACATTTCTTAAATTGCAACTATAATCATACTTCATCAGCTGTGACGTGCTGTGAGACAAACAGTCATGAAAGATAACATATAAATGTAAGTCTTCTTGTTTTACTGCTGATCAAGGTTAGTAAAGGAGCCATAGAAATATTGAGAATGGCAGTCTACAAATGAAGGAACATCAGAAAAGATTTACAAGGATGTTGCCTGAGTTGATGGGTTTGAGCTATAGGGAAAAGCTGTATAGGCTATCTTCCCTGGAGCATCAGAGGCTGAGGGGTGACCTTATAGAGGTTGATAAAATTGTGAGGGACATGGATAGGGTGAATAGTCAAGGTCTTTTCCCCAGAGTAAGGGAGTTCAAAACTGGAAGGGCATAGGTTTAAGTTGAGAGGGGAAAGATTTAAAGGGACCTGAGGGGCAACTTTTTCACACAGAGGGTGGTGCGTGTATGGAATGAGCTGCCAGAGGAAGTGGTGGAGCTGGTACAATTACAACAAGTAAAAGGCATCTGGATGGGTATATGAATAGAAAATGTTTAGAGGGATATGGGCCAAATGCTCGCAAATGGGACCAGATTAATTAGGGCACCTGGACGAGTTGGACCGAACAGTCTGCATCTGTGCTGTACATCTCTACGTCTCTAACTGCACTCAACCTGATTAAATGGTGTACAGTCTTGTTTCAGGGTCAGAATGATTTCAGGCAGGACAAGATCACAGGGCCTCTTCCATTATACATTCCCTCTGTTCCCATCTCCCTCAATCCCTGAATCACAGCTGTTGTCTAGGAGATGTCTCCTCACTTCCTTCGTCCAACACTTGCACTACCATCCTACCCCGCATATTTACCACACACTTATTTCCTTTGCCTGTCCCTAATTTATAAATGTACCCCTACTTGCACCTAAAAAATAGAAAAGTAAAAAGTGCATTGTTGGGTGCAAAGTGCGTGGGGGTCATTCGGAGGTATTGAAAAGGGCAGTTTAGGCGTTCACTGCTATTAACGTACATACCCTCCGACCTTGCAGTCTCCCGTTCCTCCTTTCCACGCCCGAACGTACTTTGGATCTGCCCAAAGAGATACGGCGTTAAAGCTCCCCGTTGAGAAATAAGGTCCGACTGGACTGAGGATCACATACAGCAAGGCTTTTGTCGTTATCTTCAATCCGAGAGAAGGCTGTGATTCAAATTGGAAAGTAAGCAGGAATCCATGGGAGCTAAAACAGTGTTCAGCAGCTTTGTCACCCAACCACTCTGGATCTACAGTGTTCCCATCCCCTGCAGAATTGTGCTGGAAGCTCCAGGAATTAGAGATTCATTAACAGGAAACTGCTGTAAACAACACTCTGGAAGAAAAATCATTGGGACTTCCAAAAAAAATGGGGGCAGGGCTTTTCCAATGGTGAAGTTTTCTGCGATACCACCCGAAGAGTCAATGGATAGCCAGACCACCTCCCGCTGATCACAGCAGCTCCCCCCCTCCCCCAGCTACTTCTCTCCTCCACAGCTACATGAAGCTCTGAGGGGGCATCAAGTAGTGGAGATGGCACAACTCCAACTAGGAAACCATGGCGACAGTCTCCAACCAGGAAACCATGGTGACGGTCTCCAACTGGGAAACCATGGTGTCCTGTCTGCCAAGCTGGGGCCAATCAGTGGCAGCGATGGTGAGGGTGAGCACCTTGTCTCCAACCTAACTGAGCCCTTCTCCCATAGCCCACACCCTGCAAGACCAGGAAGGAGTCTCATCTTTTCCCTGATTGGATCCTGTGAAGGGACACCTCTAGCAGCAGTCTCTAGAGCCCAGATGCTGCCAGCTTCAACATCGAGGCCTGCAATTCACCAAGGGACCTCGCCATTCAACATTTAATGAGCTAATTGGAGCTTGATCCAGCCACACGCGCAAACACCCAGACACCCTGGTGCACCCACAAACAGATGTCAACATGCACAGCACACACACACATCCACCCCTGCAAACATGACAGCACATATCAATCTGAATATAAATAGAGCTGGAAAGACATGAATTCACATCCCAGCATTTGGCTGGCAATGGCCTTGTGGTATTATCACAAGACTATTAATCCAGAAACTTGGCTCATGTTCCCGGGGCCCGGGTTCAAATCATGCCAAAGTAGATGGTGGGTGGAATTTGAATTCAATAAACAAAAACATCTTTGAATGAAGAGTCTAATGATGACAATGAAATCTTTGTCCATTGTCATAATAAACCCAGCTAGTTCACTCATGTCGTTTAGGGAAGGAAACTGCCCACCCTTACCCAGTCTGGCTTACATGTGACTCCAGACCCACAGCAATGTGGTTGACTCTTATCTGCCCTCTGGGCCATCAGGTGTGGGCTATAAATGCTGGCCTAGGCAATGATGCCACATCCCTTGAAATGAACATTTGAAAAAAGGATGCGGTTGTCCTTGTCCATTCGCCAACACACACACAGCCAGCCCCGATTTCGGGTATTCTCACCTCTGTTCCAATAAGGACCGGTCGAATGTAGAGACTGGCAGCATTTGAGTATGGTACCCACTCCCTGTCTATCTCCACCAGCTTCCTGATGCACTCCAACAGCTCGTCGGGATCAAAGCTCTGGAAAAGGAAAGACCTCTTCAGACTGAATTCATTTGGCGCATGAACAAAGAAACTAATCAATCGACTGCTGGAACGATTATTGTCCACTGTAGATGGAAGGAAGCCTGGACAGTGTTACCAAACGTGACATCAAAGCTTGAAGATTGTAGCTGCTACCATCTGCAATTAAAGTCTTCCAAAACGTTTATGATGTAAAAACCTCTGGTGGAAAATGGAGGTTCTTGCATGATAGCCCTGTCGGGGTTTAGAACTTCTTGAGTTTAGAAGTTTTGCGGGTGATCTACTCAAGGTGTGCTAATGATAAAGTGATTGGAGAAGGTAGCTACTTTATCCACTCTCTGTCCCAAGGCAGTTCTGACCCACAGTGCCACAACCTCCAACATGGCACAGGCAAGGAGACCGCTCCTGAATCTCACCCCATCAGAGCGGGCTCCAGTCTCTGTGCAGTTGGCACCAATCTGATCCACACTGGACACCCAACCAACTACAGCCCCAAGGAGCCAGTGTTAACACACACTTTTATCTACACGGTGTAACCTGGAGTCATGGTAGTGATGGTAGAGGCTCCAATTTAATTCCTTCACAATCAGGAATCTCTCCTGCTCTGTTGGCATGTGTTGGAAGAATTTACAGGTTGATACTGGGCCTGTTCTGGTTGTGTAATGAGCACGCCTTTGACGGTCAAATCCTGGAGTGGGAGTCAAATGTACAGCTTCTGGCTCAGAGGCAGGGACACTACCCAGTACTCCACAAACTATAGCTCTCTCCGTCAGAAAAAACTGTGGATCCTGGGATTCAATAGGAGCTTTCGAGAATGTGATAGGTTTTTGTTTCCTATCAAAAGCTGCCTGACGCAAACTGACTAATAGGAATTGAGGTACAAATCTGATTGTACGATTGTCTGAATGTCTATGCCTCTCCCTCTGTTGTCAGAAATAGTGTCATTTGGAATTTGGCTTGATTGCCATTGCTGGTGCCAGAGTGGTATCTGCAACCTCCTGCCTGTATATGGCACAGGCAAAGGGTTACTTAATCTGTTTGCTGCCAACAATCCTCCTTTGCCTGTACTGTATCCAGGGCCTGTCTATTGATCAGTGGTAGAGGATAGAGACAGCACCCGTGAGTCCAAACAGAAGGGGCACTTCTCTCAGTTAATGTTTTTATGCACAATAGTAATAAGTACAGTTTACATTACTAGTCAGGCATGAAAACTAAGGACCGAATGAACATGTGGAAATGAGCTGCTGTAAATCAGAAACAAAAACAGAAATTGCTGGAAAAGCTCAACAGGTCTGGCAGCATCTGTGGACAGAAATCAGAGTTAACATTTCGGGTCAAGTGACCCTTCCTCAGAACTGCCAACCTGCTGAGCTTTTCCAGCAATTTCTGTTCTTGTTTATGATTACTAAGGACTATTGGGTACTGTACAGAATACATTACAATGCTGTAAAACTCCTTGACTTAATGTATAGACAGTGTACAATAGTCAGATTGGGTGGAAGAAATGCAACATTCAACATTAAGACTTTCAGGACTATTACCTTAAGCAACAGATATCTAATACAGTGTCATACAAGAAAGAACTTGAGCTCTAGTTAAAGGTCAATTTGCTTATCTATTTGCATGATTTGGTTGCATTACTGAGGAAAATGCACCACGTTAGTGTAGGTAAACCTCTGTCAGATGTCCCTGCAAAGTTGCATGGGTGTGCGGCCACGCAGTAACCTGAAAAGTCCTGTACAGACTTTGTTCCATCATTAACATTGTATGTGCACAGTGCAAGTAAATTCAAAGGGACAGCAACTGGATAAAGTAACAGGCCACAGTCTACACGTGAGTGTCAATAATAAGGGGATAGCTGAAGCAGGTCAGTGTACTCACAGGTAAACAGACTCGATTGGCAGATCTCAGCATCCTCTGCATATTCAACATAGGTCTGAACAGGCGAATCTTATTATCCACTCCTCGGTAGGCTTTCAGCCCTTCAAACAACTGTGGAGAGATGGGAGGTGAAGCAAGAAGCTATTTCATGCAACTCTCTCTTACAGGTGATTCCACAGTTATTTAGTGAAAAGTAATCGCAGTTACCAGGGAATTCCACTTACACCCTTCACTGTAAGGCCACGCACTCTCTCTGGCTGGTGAGTGAACAACGCACCAGATCGTAAACTCAGTCAATGTTCCCTCATCTCTTGGCTTAGCTCACAGAAGGAGATTAACCGCCACCTTGCTGCTATCTCTGGGATCTTCCTGTGCGTCACTTAGCTGCTGGAAATTCCCATCCTGCTTCAGCGACTGCGTGTCAAAAATGGCAGATTAGCTGCTAAACCGAGCAGTGCCGTGACTGACACCGCATTTATCAGTGCATTCGAATGGGATCACTGAATATCCCTTTGCACCGTATCTACCCTCAGGGCAAAACCCATGGCTTTGCTGCCAACGGTAATCAACAGCCTTCCTGAGGAGGTAGCTCATAGAATCCCTACAGTGTGGAAACAGGCCCTTTGGCCCAACAAGTCCACACCGAACCTCAGAGCATCCCACCCAGACCCATCCCCCTATAACGCACCTAATCTACACATCCCTGGACACTATGGGCAATTTAGCATGGCCAATCCACCTAGCCTGCACATCTTCGGACTGCAGGAGGAAACCGGAGCACCCGGAGGAAACCCACGCAGACATGGGGAGAATGTGCAAACTCCACACAGATGGTCGCCTGAGGCTGGAATCGAACCCAGGTCCCTGGCGCTGTGAGGCAGCAGTGCTAACCACTGAGCCACCATGGAGGGTTTCCTCCACCCACCCTACCCCCAAAATTCCCCACGGCACCACACCTTCCCAATTCACTGACTGACAATCTCCACCGATCTGACCACTCCGTGCCAATCATTCACTTGTCCTCAAACCCGAGCAAGCATTAACCTTGACCCATTCACGTCTCAGGTGCGGCCAAGTGGTGCGTCCTGGCCAGGAAGTGGAGGAATGGCAAGTAGAAATGGATGATGGCAAAGCGGCACCATCATTTCATCCCCCGCCGTATTGCAAAAGCTGCAGCTGTTACGTCCAAGCTCAGTCAGAGAGAGAGTGAGGAACTACAGCAAAACCCCCAGTCTGTCTGCATTCTCAGTACACCCTTCCATCATGGTGAGGCTAGGCCAAGCATCAGAGGACAGGAGAAATGGCTGAACCACCTACACCTTCACTGTCTTTGACATCTCCTCAGCATCTCCAGATAGGACAAAGTCACCAACTCGAAGCAGGTGAAGCTGCTTTATGCAGAAGCCTTAAAGCAGCGAAGACCTCCCTCAGGCCCTGCCACATCACTCCCTGCAAACTCTCGTGACTTGCAGCAACTACAGAAAGCACCAAACACTTGAGGAATCAAAGCAATGTTCAGAAGAAACCAACTAAACTAATGTGAAAATGTTCACTAGTCCTGCATACGTGATTATGAATGCGAGTGAGCGCATGTCTCTACATGTGTGTCTGTGGGTGTATGTATGTAAATTTTCTTTTATTCATTCATGGTATGAGCGCATCATTGGCTAGGCCCATCCATAATTGTCCAGACCAGATAAAAACAGCAGAATTCCTTACCTAAAAGATGTTAGCAAACCAGATGGATTTTCTCCCCCCCAAGAATTGATTCAAGGTTATCCATTAGACTCTTCATTCCAGGATTTTTATTGGATTTAAATTCCACCATAGCAGGGTTTGAACCCAGGCCCCCAGAACATTAGCTGGGTCTCTGGATTAACAGCTCAGTGATAGTACCACAAGGCCAACACCTCCCTAAATGAGTATGCATGTGTATATATGAGCGTGTGTGTGCACGCGCATGTATTTATAAGTGTGTTTGTGTATAAGTGTATATATCTGTATGTGTGTGTATATGTATGTGTATATATTTGTGTGCATATAGGAGTATGTGTGTGTGTGTGTATCTGTATGTATGTGTGTGTATATATCTGCATGTGTTTTTGTGCATGTATATGTGTGTGTTTTTGTCAGTGTGGATATGTGTGTATATGTGTGTGTGTGTATTTGCGTATGCGTATGTGTGTGCACGTGTGTTTTTGAGAGTGTGTATATGTGAGTGTCCCTCCTGCCAGAATTTGCGCTCCAACATGGCAGTACCAGCAAGGCAGTGTTCCACTGACTGATATTGTGCTCTATGTACATCCCCACTGTCCAGTCACTGTGTATACTAATATCTGTCTCAATATGGTGTCTAGTGCAATTTGCTCCTAGAGTGCTTATGTGAGTTACAGTGGCCATTTTCGTGTTTGAAGGACATAGGTAGGACCCCACAAACAGGCAGCCTAATTTCTCATTCACTTTTGTTCTTTCAGTTGCGCTGCACACTTGCAATTTCTGATAAGAACCACATGAGGGTGATGGAGTCCGCCTTTTGGTGAATGCTCGTGATCTCGGGTACAAGCTTAGAGCAGCAGCAGTTTGTTCTTGCCAGACAATACCTTCCATCTACTGTGAAACCTTTCAGAATCAGGCATTCTCCAAAAATATGGCACTGCAACTTAACACAGCCTCTAAATCACAATATTAACAGGCTTAATTATTTAACTAGCAACCCCGTTTTAATAATTTAATCAAACGTTCCCTATATATGATGCATTGTGTATACAATAAGTGCAATTCCTGTTACATAATATATAATTACTTTGTTTAGTTCACTTTGATTTGAGAGTACATTGGCATTTATATATATTTCATGTAGTTTAAACAGTTTATACATATTTTATTTAATTTAAACTTTGAAAGATGGCATTTAATTTCCCAATCAAATTGCTGTTGAATGGGTGACAGCTGTGGTTCAATGGGAAATGTTCTAATCTGAAAATTGCAAATATTAAGATGGAGCTCTTGCATGGTGCTGAGGGAGTGCTGCGCAGTCAGAGGCGCTGATTTTAGACAAGGCCTCTCAAACAGTTATGAAAGATGTCCCAGTTACTAGTCAAAGAACAGTAGGGGCCACAATGCTGTTCTCCAAATAGCAATTATCCATTAACCAAACAGCAGCAAACCATGTCACTTGGCCATTTATCTCTTGGCTGTGTGTCAGATCTTGTGTGCAGACTGGTTTCCTGCAATCCAATGGCTGGGTTAATGGAATGTTCTCCTTTATAATGAGAAGAATTAAACACAAAGGTAAGGACGTACTGTCAGGAGCTGGTACAGGAGCAACACGATGAATGGCCTCCTTCTGTACTGTAAAAGTCCATGATTCTATATTACTGTTGAGACCACTTTAGAATATGCTGTGCAGTTTTATCTCCTTATTTAAGAAAGGATATAAATAAATTGGAGGCTGTTCAGAGGAGGTTTACTGGATTGAAACCTGAAATGATGGGAAGCCTTAGAAGCGAAGACTGGACATGCTGGGCTTGTTTTCACTAGAGATCCATAGAACATAGAACAGTACAGCACAACAAAAATCAAAGGGATCTGATGGCCTGGCGGTATTATCACTGGACTGTCAATCCAGGAGACCTAGATAATGTTCTGGGCACCTGGGTTTGAATCCTGCCTTGGCAGATGGTGGAATCTGAATTCAATTTTTAAAAAATTCAGAAATTAAGAATCTACTGATGACCACTGTCAATTGTTGGAAAAGCTCATCTGGCTCATTAATGTCCTTTAGGGAAAGTGGAGGTAGGCAGATTCTTGTAAGACAAGGGAATTGTTAAGGATTATCAGGGATAAACCCGAATATGGAATTCAAAACACAAACTGATCAGCCGTCTTCTTATTGAATGGTGGAGTTGTGCTTACTCCCTCCAGACACAGGTTAGAGGATGCCAGGTGCCAAGGCATTCCAGTTAAATTGATCAGTCTGGGACTCTGTCCAAATAATTATTATTTAGCCCCTGCTCCTCACCTACTCCCCAATGCCCCATCCATGCCAATCCATACCCTCAATCACCTCCAATGGCTCCTCATACCCTACAAACCAATCAATTCTCCCCATGACTCCACCAGCCCAATGGTCCTTCATATCTCCACGATAACCCATACACCACCTCCTCTCCTAGTGCCCACTAACATCCTCCATGTCGCACTTCCATCTCCATTTATCAGATATGCACTCTGTACAAAACCAATAAACCCTGCAGCAACAATGAGCTGTGTGGGAATGCTTAAAGAAAGCCATCCATAATGCCCTTGAAAAACTGCCATTACTTGTCATTTGTAAATTAACAAGATCTTGGAAGTATCAATAGCAGAAATAATAAGCACTTGGCAGAGACTTATGTAAATAACAGTTCAGACAATGAGAAAATAAATCACAGAGGCAAAAACAAATATGTAAACCTTAAATGTGTCAATGTGGTTGACACTTACCTGCCCTCTGGGTAATTAGGGATGGGCAATAAATGCTGCCTAGCTAGTAACACCCTCATCCCGTGAATGAATAATAAACAAATCAAGCAAGCTTTTCCCGACTGCAAACCGGCTCAATAAGGTAATGTGGGACGAAGCTGCTCGACTGAGACCCCAGTCAGTGTCTCGGGCACAGACAAACGTGCGCGCATCAACATATCGATATTCAAATGCCTTGGTCTGTCTGGAAATGATGGCACCAAACCAGGGATTATAGTGTAACCGGCATGCCTAAAACCTCCAAGCAGTTCATGTAAAGTAGAAACAAAAAACTTTTCTACTGCAAGAAAGAAACTTAAACTTGACTACTAGCACATTCTGTGCCTTCAGAGCAGCTTGAAATTAATGAGATAACACAGTGTGGAGCTGGAGGAGCACAGCAGGCGAGGCAGCTTCTGAGGAGCAGGAAAGTTGACATTTTGGGTCAGGAAAATGGAATTCGCCAGGAAAATGTGGCAGCAAAGTTTGTGCATAGTAAGCCCCACTCCCACAAAGAGCAATGGCCAAATTTTAGTGACATTCGACCACAGGTTAAATATTGACAGGAGATCTTTCTCTGCTGGTGTGCCTTCTTCAACTTGAGAGGGCAGACAGGATCTGGGCTTAACATCCTCCCCCGAAAAACAGCACCTCCGACAGGGCAGAGATCCCTCAATACTGCTTGGGATTGAGGTAGAAGTCTCGATGTTCAGCTTTGAACACAGAGCTGTGAAAGCCATCTGCCAAGGCCCACAGCTAACGCTGAGCCCAGCAATGCAAATCTCCCTTTCACCAACTCACCTCCACTGAGTAATGTAGGGCTGACACAGCAGGATGCAGTGAGAGGTTCTGCAATGGTTTAATCTGTGGCCTCTCCCAGCCTCTTGCAATCGTCCACTGAATCATCAACATGTGGTCACTGAACAAAGTCCCAAACACAAGCTGGTTCGGGTCTGGCTTCTTGGCTGACACCTGAACCATTTCAATCTCCAGATCTGCTGCCTTAAAGGGAAAAGGAGAAGAAAAATATATTGAGGGTAAAGCAACACCAGTTCAAATATCATACAAAAATTAGGGCGCAGAACATTACATGGATTTTACCACAGAAACAGGCTATTCGACCAGGTACTACCTTCATTTCATAAAGCCCTCAGGGACACCAAGAGGCAATACCAGAACCTGTTGTTTGTGGCAAGTCTTACACAACATAACGGGATACAAAGCAAACTCGAACAGAATCTCAGGTAGCAGTACATTGCTCCCAATGGAGCTCAATGCACTCTACGCTAGCTTTGAACAGAAGGTCAGTGAAACGATGTCACCCTAACCCAACAGCCTTGGATGCTCCTCTACCCTCAATCACTGCCACAGATGTTAGATTGACCTTCTTGACTGAACCCATGGAAAGCGACTGGCCCAGATGGAGTCCGCAGCCGCGCACTCAGATCCTGTGCGGACCAGTTGGCGGGAGTATTCACTGGACATCTTTACCCTTGCCCTACTATGATCTGAAGTCCCCACCTGCCTCGAGAAGACCACCATCATCCCAGTGCCGAAGAAAAATCATGCAGCGTGCCTCAATGACTGCCACCTGGTAGCTCAAGGGCATCCATGGTTACAAAGTGCTTCGAAAGGTTAGTCATGGCTCACGTCAACTCCAAACTCCCAGACTGCCTCAGTCCCTTGCAATTCGCCTACCGGTGCAACAGGTGGATGGCAGATGCCATCTCCCTGGCCATTTCGCTCATCACTGGAACATCTGGACAACTAGGATATCTACATCAGGTTCCTACTTATTGGCTACAATGCCACCTTCAACACTATAATTCAAACCAAATTCATCTCTAAACTCTGAGACCTGGGTCTCAGCTCCCCCCTCTGTAGCTGGATCCTTGTCCTCCTGACCCACAGACTACAATCAGTAAGGATAGGCGATAACACCTCCTTTACCATAATCCTCAACACCGGTGCCCCACAAGGCTACATACTTAGCCTCCTACTATACTTATTGACCCCTTAGTCATGAGTCTAATTCCATCCCAACTCCATTTACAAGTTTGCTGACGACACCACCGTAGTGAGTTGTACCCCAACAACGATGAGACAGAATACAGGAAAGAGACGGAGTGCTTAGTGGCACGGTTTAAAGTCATCAATCTCTCCATCAATGTCAGCGAAACGAAGCAGCTGGTCATTGACTTCAGGCAGTGGAGTGGAGGGCACGCCCCTGTCTGCATCAATGGTGCTGAGGGGCAGATGGTTGAGAGCATCAAGTTCCTGGGAGTGACAATCACCAGCAATCTGTCCTGGTCCATCTACACTGACACAATGGTCAAAAAAGCACAGCAATACCTCTAATTCCTCAGGCTTAGGAAATTTGGCATGTCTGCAAAGACTCTCATCAATTTTTATAGACATGTCACAGAAAGCATCCTATCTAGATCCATCACAGTGCGGAATGGCAACTGCTCTTCACAAGACCACAAGAATCTACAGAAAGTTATGAACACAGCCCAGTCCATCTCACAAACCAGGCTTCCATCCACTGACTCCATCTAAACTTCCCACTGCCTCAGAAAAGCAACCAACATAGTAAAAGATCCCTCCCGCCCTGGTTATACTCTCTTCCACCCTCTTCCATCAGGCTGAAGACATGTCAATTTGAATACACGTATGAACAGATCCAAGAACAGCTTCTACCCTGCTGTTATCAGACTTTTGAATGGACCTCTCAAATAGGAATTCTGATCTTCCTCTCTCTGCACCTTCTCTGAAGCTGTAACACCGCATTCTGTACTCTGCTCTGCTGCCCTGATGCACTTTGTATGGTACGATCCACCTGGATAGCACGCAAAACAAAACTTTTCACTGTATCTCAGTGACAACAATAAATCAATCAATGAACAATCAACAACTGGTTGGTCCCAGTATTTCAACTCCAGTCACCTCCAACTCTATTTTAACATCCTGACTGCATTTGTTCTCTTCCTCCTTGTGTCTGAATCAAGCTGCCCATTAATTACAGCAATGCTATCTGTCCCACACAGTCATGAGCTCCATATTCTTACCACTCTCTGCGTAAAATATCTTCTGTATTCTTCTATCCACAGTATCGGCTAAGGACCCTTGATCCTAGACTCCCCGACAAGCAGAAAGGATTTCTCCACCAGTATCTTATCAAACCCTTCCATCACTTTAAAGGCCTAGGTCAGGTCTCCTCCACGTGGTAAACAGTCTGTTCAATCTTTCTTCATCATTCCCGTCACTCAATTTTGGCAGCATTCTTGTAAAAGCTGGAGGTTACTTTTAGGCACAAGGACAAATCAGGAGCTGTTGTGTTAGGGAATGGTTCTGAAAGGGTTAATGTTGGAGACTGTATTAAGTTCTGCTCTCGGCTGATGCCTATTGGCTCTGAGTGGAGATAAGGCAGAGCAGCCGAGGGCCATATAATGTGAAGATTGATATGCACAGGTCTCCCACAAGTCTCAGTAACAATGTTAAAGCTCCCAACGTACATATCTTCTTATCAGTTTGTTCAGATGTGTTATAAGACACTTCTGGAACAGCTGGGACTTGAACCCCAGTCTTCAGTCCCTACCACTGTACCCTCAACGTCCCAGTGTAACTGGTGTCTGGTGGCTATCATGCAATAAAGTACATCTTGATTAAAACATGTGCTTCCTGTCATTGAGATTCACTATGGTTTTCCTTTCCCACTGTAAACCAAGCAGGTCCTTAAACCCAATCAACAAAAAAGAGGTTGGTGGCAGTGAACTACCAGGCCATAAGCTGGTGGCGGTTGGCATCACGGCACACAACAACTGCGTATCAGAAGTCAGTGTGTATCCCATTGCACGCAGCTCATGAGACAGGAGGTACATGTCCAAATCCTTGTGGACTGCTCTCGCCTGCAGTTATCAAACAATGGTATCATCCTGGAGCTACCCTGGCGTGACCTTGGAGCAACTCAGTGATCACAGCACCCAGGGGGTATGGATAGGCTCAGCTATGGTAGGAGAAAGCTGCGATAGGTTCCCCATCTCACCTGCGTCGTGGGCAGAGGGGAGGAGAACTCAACATGGGAGTCACAAGTTGCTGCTCTTGTCTGCCTCCTGTTGGTCAGTTACAATATTACCCACACCCCACTTGCTTCCGTGCCATTTCCTGTAATAATAAAAAGTTACCAATCTCAGTCTTGAGCTCCCAATATTCCCTGCTTCTAGTCTTTTATCACACAGAATTCCACATTTTTACCAGCCAGCATGTGAAAAAAAATCCCTCCTGCCTCCAACCCAAAGGTTTAACTTAAGTTAAGAATTTGTCCTCTATCAAACCAGTTCATCACTTTAAATATCTCGAACAACTCACCCTTAAAATCTTTTAAATTCAAGGGATGACAAAGACCAGCTTATGCAACCTGTCCTCATAATTTAAACATTAATCAGTTAAGAGGTTGAAGTTATTTGCAAAATATTGTGCAAATAGACATCATGCAGATAAATATGTAAACATGTCAAAAGGAAATCTACTGCAGTACATCAATTTGTCATATAAGGAAGACTCACTAAATCTATCAGGGTTGTTTCACAGGAAGATGTCAAGTTCCCATCACAAATAATTCACATTTCCAACTCCAGTTCTAACTTGATTTGTATTAATTAAAAGACATTCCTCAGACCCGTGATCAATGTTGGACTCAATCTTCCACTCTATTCCCAATTATATAATTTCTTATAATTCGTTCATGGAATATGGGCATTGCTGGCTGGGCCCAGTATTTATTGCCCATCCCTAGCTGCCCTTGAGAAGGTGGTAGTGAACTGCCTTCTTGATCTGCTGCAGTGCACATACTGTGGGTTGACCCACAATGTCATTAGGGAGGGAATTCCAGGATTTTGACCCAGCAAGAATGAAGGAAAGATGATATATTGCAAGTCAGGATGGTGAGTGGCTTGGAGGGGAACTCGCAAATGGTAGTGTTGCCCTGTATCTGCTGCCTTTATCCTTCTAGTTGGAAATGGTCATGGGTTTGGAAGGTGCTGTCTGAGGATCTTTGGTGAATTTTTGCAGTGTATCTTGTAGATGGTACACACTACTGCTACGGAGCGTCGGTGGTGGAGGGAGTGAATGATTGTGAATGCGGAAACAAAACTTTTCACTGTATCTCAGTGACAACAATAAATCAATCAATGAACAATCTGCTCCCAGGATGAGGCATTCCACTCCCGTACATCTCAGATGTCCTCATTTTTCAAGGATCGCAACCTCCCACCCCTCAGTGGTCGAGAACGCCCTCCACCGTTTCTCCCGCATCTCATCCCTCACACCTCCTCCCCACAATAACAACCAAAACAGAATTCCCCTCGTCCTCACATACCACCCCACCAACCTCCGGATCCAACGCATCATCCTCCGACACTTCCGCCATCTGCAATCCGACCCCACCACCAAAGACATTTTTCCCTCCCCACCCTTATCGGCTTTCCAGAGGGACCACTCTCTCCGTGACTCCCCTGTCCACGCTCCCCTCCAGCCCCACCACACCCGGCACTTTTCCCTGCAACCGCAGGAAGTGCTACACCTGCCCCTACACCTCCCCCCTCACCCCTCACCCCCATCCCAGGCCCCAAGAAGACTTTCCACATCAAGCAGATGTTCACCTGCACATCTGCTAATGTGGTATACAGTATCCGCTGTTCCCGTTGTGGCCTCCTCTACATCGGGGAAACCAAGCGGAGGCTTGGGGACCGCTTTGCAGAACACCTACGCTCGGTTCGCACTAAACAACTGCACCTCCCAGTCGCGAACCATTTCAACGCCCCCTCCCATTCCTCAGACGACATGTCCATCCTGGGTCTCCTGCAGTGCCACAACGATGCCACCCAAAGGTTGCAGGAACAGCACCTCATATTCCGCTTGGGAACGCTGCAGCTCAATGGTATCAATGTGGACTTCACAAGCTTCAAAATCTCCCCTCCCCCTACTGCATCCCAAAACCAGTC